AGGAAACTGAATACGGACAAAGAGATAGTGAATAAAGAACTGGGAGAAAGAAGCTTGAATTGGCAAAACAATGTAGAGAGAGAGAAAGGAAAGGGGATAGGAATGATGGGAATAAAAGGGAGATAAAGGCAAACGAACCAACCCAAATGGAATAGCATAGCTTTCCCATTACAAACGAATGTATGTTTGTCTTCTGTTCCTCTTATATCCTCGTTTCTCTCTCCTTCTCTCCTCTCCTCTCTCCTCTCCTTAATCTGGCGTTTCCGCCCTTTCATAAACCCAGTTAGAGAACTAGCTCCTTTAGTAACATTGTTCTTATATTTTGCACTTTTGTACTTTTTAACCGTCTCTCCCTTCATTTATTTTTCAAACAGATTTATAACATTTCGTGTACTGTAACCTTGTTCCAATCGTTCTTCTCTTTTCTTTTTTTCCAAAGGGTTTCCAACATGCCTTGTATTCGGAACCTTCTTCCTTTTTTTCCGAGAGATTCCTCTTCCTTGTATCCTAAGCGCTTCTCTCTCTCCGTCCAGGTTTGCCGTGTTCGTCCTGCTGAAGATCGGCACCGAAATCTACGACACGGTCATGGTGAACCCCGTCGACCGCTCCATGACCGACATCTGCTTCGACGACATCATTGTCTTGTAAGTTGTGGTTGGTGGCGGTGGCGTTGGCGTGGCTGGAGATAATGGCACGGTTGATTTGGGTGGTGGCGTCTCCTCTTGGGTGTTTTGGAAGAGTGGTTGTTGGTGGTCCTCGGGATGTGAGAATGATGAGGATGACAACTGTGTGATGTATTACCACGTGTTGTTGCAACGATGATTACGTTAATATTTACAAAAGGAGCAGTTGATAGGACTGGAATAGAATATTGGTGATAAGAGGTAGCAGTAGAGAGATAAGAGAGGAAAGCTCCTACCTTTGAGAGAAACCCTGCCTCCCTAAAGTTTTCCTTCCGAGTCCGCCCAGTGAATTCCTAATGTGTCCCTCGGTTCCCCGCAGCAACGGCATCCCGTCGGGCTTCGAGTGCAGCCTGGAGGTGTACAGCCACGTGCTGCAGAACGACCTCACGATGGCCAGCACGCCGAGGAAGCTGAAGCGGACGCTGCACTCGTCCATCTCGCGCACGGTGGGCCGCAAGCTGGCCGCCTCGCTCAGGGACGAGCTCTCCCACGGCGAACTGTAAGTGGGTGGGCGGGGAGCCTTGCTCTGTTCGTCTCTTTTATGGTTTTTGTCTTTACTCTCGTCATGTGCTTATGTTTTTTTTCCCAACCACCTTTTTTGCATATTATCTCCTTGTCTTCTTCTTCTTCTTCTTCTTCTTCTTCTTCTTCTTCTTCTTCTTCTTTTTCCTCCTCCTCTTCTCCTCCTTTTCCTCCTCCTCCTCCTCCTTTTCCTCCTCCTTCCTCCTTTCCTCCTCCTCCTCCTCCTCCCCCATTTTCTTCCTCCTCTCCTTTACTGTTTCATTATAGTGTCCATTATGCTTTTTAGTAGACAATACTGATATATCACTCAAAAGATAATTTACTAATAGCAAATTCACAGAAAGAAATAGGACAAAATAAGCATGGCTGAAGTGTTCATAAGTCTCACTTTTGACAGAGGACCCAAGTTCGAACTGGTTGCCACAGCAAAGTTGATGCTGGACAATGTTTCAAACAATACTGCAACATTTGACCTGAACATGGAGAACGTAGGTAAGTTTCCCTGACTTTGGCAGCCCTGTGATAAAGGGATTTTCTTTAGTCTTTGATGTACTTGTAGTTTTGGTAATATTTTGTTTATAAGTTTTGCTCAAGTCCAAGGGACTATCCTCGTTCTCTTCTATATGCATGAAATAGAAGTAACTGCTGATGACATGATAATTTTTCTTAGATTTAAAAAGAATGAATGCCAGCAGTGGTATATTTTCATTGATCCAGTTTTTCCTATCTTAACAGAGAACCGAGCAAACCAGTTACCTCTATTTGGCCACTTCTGCTGTCGTCTCGCTGCTCAGCCTGACTGTGCCACACAGGAAAGAATTGCAGGATATGCACACGTCACGGTAAGCCTTGTCAGTCTGCTCAGGACAGGAATTTATTGAAAAGAAATTAGGTTCTGTTTATTTTAGGCTCTATATTCTAGTTGCTAAAGGCTGCTTGGAAATCACTTTGCTCCTAATTGGTACAGGGAGATACAGGCTGTGTAGTGCCCACTGTTTACTAATTTCTTTGTGTTATTAAACCTTATACTGTGTGGAATTACCTTGGATACCTATGGCACTACTTAAATATGTCATTGTAATTATATTGCTTACTTTGTTGATATTTTTATGTTAACCGAAAAAGTCGTTTAAAAGTATCCATTCCCTGGCAGTCACAGCTGTCAAATTAAGTGCCGGAAAAGACCCACAATGACTAACCGTTGGTTTATATGCGAGTTTTACTATAACATGAGAAACTAGTTCTTACAAACCATAACACCTAGAGTGGCTTCTTTATATTGCAAAACCATTACTACTTGCACTCTTGACTTAAGATATATTTACTGAAAACTTGTACATTCCTTGAATTATGCATTGTAGTTTAGTGTTTTTCTTGCTGACCTGAGACCCTACTGTACTACACTGTTCAGAAATCATAGATGCACAGCACTAGTTATAAAAAAGAAGAAACAAAATAGGAGTGAGTGGGTGTGTGGTTGTGTGAAAGGTTGACATGTAATGAGATGAGAGACAGAGCTCAAAATGGCTTAGATTTTCAATGTCCCCTCCCCCTTCCCCTCCCCCCCACAGGAAAGTGAACAGCAGAACTCATGGTGTAGATTGTTCGGTTGGCAGCTGGAGGTGTGGAATTCGAAAGAGGATGTGCATCTTTCGCCTCATCATCCCCTTTCATTATCTGTGGACAGGGTGAGTGCATTGGGAGTATGCTGTGTTTTAGTTTGAACACCAGTTAAACCAATTCCAAAAATAGAGATTTCTTGATTTGTCTGTTGGTTTTGTAGTATGTACATGATATACCTGAAATATGCAGCTTGAATAGGGAACGAAAATGTTTGAGAATTTAATGTATTTCATCTGTTAATTTTTTTGTAACAATATACAGATTGATTAAAAAAAAGTGGTGAAGGACAATCTAACGCTTTCAGTCATTGTCATGGATTCTATCAAGAAATAGTAATTTTAAGCAAACCCTCTCCCCACAGAATACAGAGGTCACCCTGAATGGTGCTCAGGTTGTGGTGTCCAACAGTACAGGATTTGACCGTGGCTCCCTGACACTGGGTCTCGACTCCCCAAGTGAGGCTTCATCCTGGTACAGGTGTCTACAGCAGCACATCTCGGATCACAGACTATGGGGAGCAGCAGCCGAGGAGGAGATGGAAATCCTGACGCCACAGCCCACGCGACACAACTTCATCTTGCCCAGACGGGGTCGTTTCACCTCCCTCTACGAGGAGACCCCCCTCAGAGGTGTGTGCTCTTAAATTAAACTATTTAGAGCATCATGGTATCTTGATGTTTTGGTAATATGATGGCAATGAAATGTCAGATTTTCCTTTGAATATTTTCCTGTCTGTATATAAATTAATGTCTGTTTGAAATTATATTTATCTATGTATCTAAATGTAGATGGCCAGCAGTGAAGCTGGTAGAGTCCATTATATGTGTAAAGCTTTATAACATGTACAAGATTTTGTTATTTTTCCTTTTTCTACAGATGGATCACCAAGCTCTGAGAAGTCCTCCTTGGATGACATCTATGGTTCATCTGCGTTTGTCAATAACTACTGCACTCCGGCCCAAGTTACAAGGCCGAGAGCAATGACTCTGGCTTCAAGGTCCTCTTTCAGGCGATGGGGCTCAGTCAAGTGTAATATGCCCTTCTTCAAGAGCAAGAGTTAGAGACAAAAAACAAAGACAAGTTGCTGTTTTGAAAATATTTTGGCAGCCTTACCTTGTATATATTTATATATATATATTTGATTTTTTTTTTCTCACTTCATATTTTGTGTTAAATTTTTTCTTTTTTTCACTTCTATGAATGAACTCTACTTCATAATGAGCTATTTTTTGTACTGTGACTGAATCACCATTGTCAACTATACAGTGACAAGGATTTTTTTTTCTGATATTTCATCACAATTGAACTGTGAACTGTATATGTCAGTATCTGATGTTTGCCCAGTATTACCCTTCTCTTATCTGAAAGCACTGCAAAAGAATGTGTAAGGTTCATCTCATAAATTAGTGATATATTGGAAAAAGTGTCCTAATGCAAAAGACAAGTGCTGATCATGAGTGAAATCTGGTTAAACTGTGTTGAGTGAAAGAGTTTGCCCCTGTAAGTTGCATTTATTGGGTATTTTCATTCATCCATTCTGTGACACTGATTTTAAAAGCAGAAGCTGAAATATGCAGGTTATTATCACATAACATTTATCTTGAGACAGAAGCTTTTGCAGAAATTGGAAACCCGGTAGAACTTCAGCAGAGGGCACGTCAGATTTGTTATTGTTTTCTTTTCCAGTGATTGTTCAACGTGAACTTATAGAAAAGTGTGTAGAACATGAGAAATGTTTCTAAGGATATTCTTTTTAGCAAGATTAAAATACTGCTTTTTAATGTGGAAGCAGTCTTTTCAGAGAATGTGGTCATGTTCTGTTTCAGGCATGGTGTATAGTCATGTTGTCAAAGAAATATATTCCTGAAAATTGAATGATTACAGGCATGGCACTGCAGTAGACATTTCCCAAGTTGAAGATTACTAATTCTTCTCAGCTTACTTTTGGACAGTCATTTTTCCCCCCCTTTTTTTTCCTTTTCATGGTTTTTACAGAGTTAAAAGAAAGTTTATGTAAAAGTAATGAACCAATCATATTCTTCTTCACCTTTATTGCTTGACAGACATAGGTAGCTATATAAAGACACCAGAGCATATACTTTTATTACGTCTTTTTTAACTTTGTTGAAAATGTATGAGTTATTTCAGTGATAGCAAGAAGCCTGTGCTACT